ATGCACGCTTATTCGCGGATCTTTGTTAATTAAAATCTCAGTAACTATTGCGAATCTAGCAAAATGGTATAGGACTTTTCACCTCAGTTTTATTCCTTTTACCTGCCTACGAGCGATGTTAAACCAATTCTGGGACACCCTGTATATATATATCAAATGTTGCTAGTAATCTAAGCTGCTCATAGCTTTCAGAAGACTTACAAGTTTACGTGAAAGTTTGTTTGCTAGTAAGATAATGTGCCAAAATTGGCGTTTTTGGTTATATTTACTATTATTTTGTCGTCAAAGTAAATTTCTTGCAATATTATTTACACCACATCTGTTATCTTTTATCTATAATATGACTTTATTACGGCACCATATTTTTCTAAACACACGTATAAATACTATATTATAAATCAGTTGTATAAATTGATACTACTTATAAATGTATGAAATATAAGTTTATTTGAATTAAAATAGTAAGAAATAAACAATTTCATGAGATAAGTAACATGCCAAAGTGCGTGACTATGTTCTTGTCTAACAAAAATCGTATTTATATTCAATTTAATGATTTATAATATGGTAATTATGTATATAAAAAACGTAGCGTACTAAATATAAATTTATATTATAGATAAAAGATAGCACTTTAATGTGGCGTAAGTAAAATTAAAAAAAAACATTTAATTCGTCGCAAAAACTGCTAACTATGGCCAAAAATGCCAATTTTGGTACATTTAACCTCAAGTTTTTCGAAAACCTAACATGATAGCAGGTAGTAAGCTAATTTTGCCGCCGGATTCGTTTTCAGCGACCGAAATATTATTAAAAAACACTTTGTATATTCAGGTCTCACAACTATGTTGAACAGTATAATCAGCAAATATATCAACAAAAAATTTGTTCGCGTCGTAAAAATGTATTTTAAAGTAACAATAATAAGAGAAATATTTTCATCCATTGTTGCAAGGTATTCATATTGCACTGCAATAATTTTAAAATAATAATTTCAATAAATAATAATCGAAATGTTTAAGATAGCTTGAGATTAAGTTGATAAAAATAATTACGATTTATTAAGAAACAAGTGGTCTCGCGGATTGAGTGTAAGGGCTGTGAATATAGAGGTCTCGAGTTAAAATCCCACCATTACGCTTAGGGTTTTTTCAGGTTTGGTCCTTTACACCGGAGTTCATCGGTAGATCGGCGAGATGAATCGGGCATTCAAAGGTTAAGTTGAGTGAAATCTTGAATTAATTCCCCTCCCAAAGAAGATATGCCATTGGTACTTGTTTTCATTTAGTAAGGAATTCCACTTGGATTCTAGATAGAATTTTTCTTTAATTTTTAAGTTGTAAAGCGTTTCACAAAAATGAGAGCAACATGGCTTACTAAACTACAATGTAAAACCCAAAGAATCTTTCAAAAAATTAAATAATGTTCAAGAAAAATTTCAAGTTAACTTCAAGTAAACTCAAAGAAAAACTTTAAGTTAACTTCAATAGTAACTAAAAAGTTACTTTAAGTTGTTTAGTTTGAAGTAAACTTTTTGAAGTAAACTTGTTTTAATTTACTTCTTTGTAAGTAAACTTGAAGTTTTTATAAAGTTTTTTTTTGAAGTCTCTTGAAGTAAATTTTCCTAAAGGTCTGTGTACCAACATGAACATTATATCATTTATATAATGTTTATTCATTTTATATTTGACATTTGTATTGTAAAGATGTTGTCTGTTTTAAAACAACAATATTGTAAAAATTATTATATGTAGAGAAAAAGTGGCATGAAAAAGTCAAGTTTTGAAAGAACCATTTTCAACTATTTGACATTTTCTGAACAAACCTTACGGAAGTTTTAATTTTTATATAGCAACACTAGACGTGTGTCATCCACAAACATTTGACAGATTATTAAAAATAAATAGCGCTAGTGCTTTGCATTAAAGATTTTGTCATTGAAAAGTAACTTTTTGAGTTTTATTTCTGTTTTTTAACATGTGAAAAAATAATACTACAATTATTATATCATAATTTTATATATGTATTTACTCTCCTAATTATTAGGATAGGTTTAGGTTTTTAGGACCTTGAATATGTTCGCTGTTTTCCTCGTTGTTTCCCAACAGATGACGTTACTAGAACTGCGTGTGTGTAGTTTAAGATAGTAACGCATCTATAAGGAAGTATCATAGGGGCAAGCTTGAAATTCAGTACGTCATTTCGCCGAAGTGTAAACAACTTTTTTTTCTTAGTGTTAGACATGTCGAGTTTCGTGCCAAAAAAACACTATTTGCGGAGAATTCTGCATATTTTGTTCGAAAAAACTCTGCAGCTAAAGCACACAAATTCTTGTTGAGACTTACGGCGACCATGCTTTGTCGGAAACAACATGCAGAGATTGGTTTAAACGCTTCAAAAATAATGATTTTGATGTTGAAGATAAAGAACGCTCTGGTCCTCCGAAAAAGTTTGAAGACGAAGAATTGGAGGCATTACTTCATAAAGACTCATGTCAGACGCTAGCTGAACTTGAAGAATCATTAGGAGTAGATGACACAACAGTTTCGAAACGTTTAAAAGTACTAGGAATGATTCAAAAGCAAGGACATTGGGTGCCGTACGAGTTGAAGCCGAGAGACGTCAAACGGCGTCTTTCGTGTGAACAGCTGCTTCAACGGTAAAAAAGGAAAGGTTTTTTGCATCGTATCGTGACTGGCGATGAAAAGTGGATACATTACGATAAGCCTAAGCGTAGAAAATCGTGGGGTAAGCCCGGCCATGCATCAACATCGTCGGCAAAGCCGAATATCCATGGTTCGAAGCTTCTGCTCTGCATTTGGTGGGATCAGTTGGGTATAGTTTATGAACTACTCAAACCAAACGAAACCATCACGGGAGATTGCTATCGACTACAATTGAGTCGTTTGAGCCGAGCATTGAAGGAAATCGGCCGCTATGCGAGCAGAGACACGACAAAGTGATTTTGCAACATGACAACGCTCGGCCACATGTTGCACAACCGGTGAAAACCTTGGAAACGCTTAAATAGGAAGCGTCCTACCCCATCCGCCGTATTCACCAGACATTGCCCCTTCCGATTATTACTTGTTCCAATCGATGGCACATGGCCTGGCTGAGCAGCACTTCCATTCTTATAAAGATGCCAAAAGATGGGTCGATTCTTGGATAACCTCAAAAGACGTGTCGTTTTTCCGACGTGAAATTCAAATGCTGCCAGAAAGATGGGAAAAAGTAGTAGCTAGCGATGGACAATACTTTCAGTGATATGTTTTTACGACTTTTTTAAAATAAAGCATCCCAATATGTAAATATTTCTCATTCATAACGTTAATTTGATAATGTGTTTTGAAATTATACTTTTTAAGAAGAAAAGTTTTGAAAGAGCGAACTATATTGTAATAAAATAGCCGGCTCTTTTATTATCAATCTTTTTAAACCTATAATTGATAAGTATTTTAAAATCATGATATATAAAACAATCAAAAACTCTTTTTAATAAAACATTTATCTTTGACAGTAAACGTAGCAATGATTTGTGATTCTGACAAAATATTATCAATAATAAAAAAAGAAAAATAGAAAGAAAATAATAATAGTTGTATTCACAGTCTGTCAGTTGCATTCGAAGCGGGAGGACGTATTGCGTCCTCTTACGTAATACTGATTGATACTTTGCTGCCACTTCCACCACTCTTTAAATATCTATGTAGCGTTTCTTTTCTTATCTATATTCTTCATGATCTTGAAAGATCATTATTCTTATGTAAGTTTTTATTAAAACTAAAGAAGATCTCATAGTAAATTAAAACGTTTGTTAACATTTTTTTAAATCTTCGAATGAAAAAAAAATTGTATCCGAACATCTGGTGTTAGCTTGTTATTGACATTTCCCCCTATCTTTTTATTTAAATAATAATTGTATACTGCGCATTAAACGCCATAAAAAAAGTAAGCAGGTATGGTTTTAGTATAAACTTTGATCTGGTTGGGCACACAAAAACTGTAGAATAAAAGAAACACTATATTATTTTTTCAAAATTGCTTCAAAAAGTACCTAAAAGATTAAGTTTTATTCCCAATTGTAATTTCAAAAGGTTTTTTGAAAGTTTGATTAATAAAGTATGAGTTACTTAGATTTAAGTAAACAATATATAAATTTACGTTAATGGTTTTGATAATTTTGAAGAGATTGTTATGAATTGTTACTAGGTTTAGCATTTTTATTAAACAATGTTAACAATTATATTAATGTTTTAATATTAACAAATGTGTTGTTATTAGCTGTTTGGAGCAGACACGGATGCCGATGTGTGTATTTAAAATAGTTTACTGAAACCGAATCCGAAGTCTATTTAACCTTATCCTAACCTAACCTATCATGTCAGGTTTTTGACATAACCTCAAACGACCCTATAATCCAAGCCCAATTTGCTTGTTATACCTAATATATTAAATTCATTAACCCATAACCCCTTAACCTTATAACCCCTTAACCTCATAACCCCTTAACCTTAAATTCCAATAACATTATAACTCTTATAGCACAATTTATCATGGCCCAGCATTTCTACAAAAAAAAATGATTACAAACTTTCAAACGCTTGGATGTCTAATAAATTTAAAATTACATTTTTTGCACTCTCACCTTAAAAAATTTCCTGACAATTTTGGAGACTTTAGCGAAGAGCAGGGAAAACGGTTTCACCAGAATATCAAGGTGATGGAAACTCATTACTAAAGAAGATGGGACGAAAATATGATGGAAGATTTTTGCTGGATGCTAAAGAGAGACACACAGAAAGATGCTAGAAAGCGCAAACGGAACCCATTGCACAAATCTTTTGATTAAAAGAGAACCCGTTATAGTTCAAAAAAAGAGAAGGACTACATAAATAAAATTCTATATATCTGTTATTTGTTATTTAATTATTTAATTATTAATTTATTTATTTAATTATTTATCAGTTCACCTTCAAAACAGCCCTTATAAGAGCTATATGATGTACAAAATCCGTTCATGCAACCTCCTCGTGGTGTACATTGGGTAACACTAATGCTGACGGTTCTACATTTGTTTTCTGAGCATACGATATAAGGTTACGTATTTACGAGATTCTAGGGTTATTAGAATTTGAGATCAATAGATTAACGGGTTAAGGAATTCAGGATTATGGGATTGAGAGGTTATAGCGTTAATTGATTTAATATATTAGGTATAACGGGCTAATTAAGCTTGAATTATAGGGTTTTTGAAGTTATGTTCAAAACCTGACGTGATAGGGTTAAATAGACTTCAGATTCGGTTTCAGCGACCCCAAAAACATATAGTAAACATGGTCTGACCTCTAGGCCAGAAAATTTCTTTTTGTGTGTGTGTGTGGCTGTGTAATTGTTCTTTGAAACTGTTTAAAGAACCATAATTGATATTATAACAGTTTTTAAACCCTACATCTTTTGTCTAAAACACTGTTTTGTAAAACTTATATTTTTTTAGATATTCAGAAGTTTCGACTTTTTTGGGACACTCTGTATATATATATATATATATATATATATATATATGTGTATGTATGTATGTATCTATATGCAGAGTATCCGACAATTACTTTAAAGTCTCTCATAGGCAGAAGGAGTAAAATTGAGTCAAAAAGTTCTGAATCATTTTTTCTATTACATATAATAAAGGAGTAATAATTGAATAAATCAAGCCAATCAGCGCCGACCTTTAGCCGGGCGCACGCCAGTGAGCCGCGCGGAGCGCTCACGCACACCAGGCCCGTAGTTTACTGACATGCGTTCGGCTAAAGGTCAGCGCTGATTGGCTTGATTTATTCAATAATTACTCTTTTATTATATGTAAAAGAAAAAAATGATTCAGGATGGCATGGTTTTACTCCTTCTAACTGTCTACGAGAGATGTTAAAGTAATTGTCGGACACTCTGTATATATATGTACAATTATTATTACAATTATTTATCCGCTTTTTAAAAAAACACAATTAGTAATTAGTAATAATCTATTTATTTTTACCGTATTTTTTAAATCACAAACTTTTTTATGCAAAACAATAAACTTTTATAACATGCAATAAATAAATAAAAAACATATTACTTACATTTATATTATATTATATTATAGATTATACTGTAGAATTTTGGAAAAAAAAATATATCGAGACTCGAACCAGCAGAGTCGACACTGCTAACCTAGTACGCTACCGCTATACTACGCGCTCTTCGATTAAACGATCTATTTAATATCCTTATAAAGTAACTCAAAATTTTCAAATTCGATTTTCTCGCGAATGCTTGAGTAGTGCGTCTTATTACTTTACCTTGCAATACTCCACATAGTCATCTATCGATCCTATAAATTTTGTCCAAATCGATTGGTACAACGTCGTAGGCTCCCCTTGTAAGACAAAAACTCCTATACCATTTTGGAAGATTTGCAATAATTAACGAGACATAAATTAATAAAGATCCGCTAATCAGCGTGCATCCAGCGTAAGGCGAGCGTAAAGACAGCCTAGTCTTTTGCGTAGACGCGCTGTTGCGGTGGAATGGGGAAGAGCTAATAGAATAGCATGTGCACCTATACATAAACAGCATATAACCTACGTTCGGGGAGCGCGCTATCCGTGAGAAAGACTAGGCTGACCTTACGCTGGATACACGCTGATTAGCGGATCTTTATTAATTCATATCTCGTTAATTATTGCGAATTTTCCAAAGTGGTATAGGACTTTTCGTTTTAGAATAATTCCTTCTTTTTGCCTACGAGCAAGAGACGGTCATTATAAGACACCCTGTATATATATATATATCAGTGTAGGAACAGATACATGTAATGTCAAAGAAATTATAACAATTTGTCATTACATGTATCTGTTCATACACTGAAGATTCGTTTGTTGTAAGTTTATAACTTGATCAAAAAATTAAACACATTAACATTTTGTATGTTTGCTTGCATCGACCTGTTTATTCGGTTTTATTGTTTCACGAGCTTCAATCACTTTCTTGGTAAATGGTAAGTAACTTCTAATTTTTTTCTATGAAATTTTTTTATAAATAAACTAAATACATAAATAACATAAAAATCATTATATCGAAATTTTGATATTACAATTATGTGAGTAAATAAAAATGGTTTACGTGATTAAAGAAAGATGTCTCTCTCTCTCTCTCTCTATAACGATTATTCATTTATTTACTTATTTATGTATTTAAAAAATCCTATAAAGAATAAAAAAAAAATTTAATTTCTTGTAATAATTAAATATTTCTTTCTATGTAAACCTTAAAATAAAAAAAAAGTAAATTATTAATACAGTAATAAGTAAATAAATAATTACAAAAGTATTAAAAAACTCATTTTTAACTTATCTTGACATTAGACTTTATCATTTCAATTAAAAAAATACAAAGTCCATATTTTCGCGTCACATTAGTTAATTATTGATTTTTTATGTATATTATATGCTGTTTATTAGTTTTTCCCATTCCGTTACTACGACGTACGAGCGCGCAAAAAATGACAATTCCGAGCTGTCAGTTTGCACGTGGCTGCACGCTTATTCACGGATCTTTATTTATTAAGAATTCGTTAATTATTGCGAATCTCGCAAAATAGTAAAGGACTTTTCGACTCAGAATAACCCCTTCTACTTGCCTACGAGCGGTGATACGGACTTGCTGGGACACCCTGTATATAATATTATAGTCTCAACATTTTGGTATTAAGATTTTTGTTTTAGAATGACCTCGGGAATCTGCTGATAAAAAGAAATACAGTAGTTACGAGACATTCATATATACAAGTTGTCCTAGAATTGGTGTAACATCTCTCGTAGACAAGTAGAAGAAGTAAAACTGGGCCGATAAGCATCGGGCTGTCTTACGCGCGTCAGACAGCTCAATGCATGCTTATTCGCTGATCTTTGTTAATTAAAATCTCGGTAAGTATTGCGAATCTAACAAAATGGTAGGACTTATTGGCTTTGTTTTACTTCTTCTACTTGTTTACTAGAGATGTTACACCAATTCTGAGACACCTTGTATACACTGTACATATACAGAGTGTCTTGTAACTACTACATTTGATTTTACCAGCAGATTTCCGAAGTCATTCTGAAACAAAACTCTTAATATCAAAATGTTGAGACTATAATATTTTTTGAGTTATAAGCATATAAAGTTAACAAATCAGAGATTGCCTAAAACTCGCACGCTCAGGTGCGGCATAATTCAAGGCGCAAACAGTGTCGCTTGTCTTTTGTCAATAATGATTACTTATGCTATTATTGTAAGATTTGAAACTAACAACAGTATTCTCTTGGAGAAATGTTATGTAGAAGTTGATACGTATCACGTAATAAGATTGCTTTGTTCGTTAATATTTTTATCAAGCATTATCTGCATACAATGCACACATTTTAGCAATTTTAGATAACACACCTCTCATTTTATTATAGCACATGCAATTTTAAGAGATATTACACCAACTGTCTAATACCCTGTATAAATGTACGTGTGTACATGTGTATGTGTATGAAAACAAAAACTAAATTGAGTCGTATTCGTTGAAATTTATAAGATTAGTGAAGATAAATACGAGCCATGTACTAGGTTTTCGTGTATGAGTAAATTTATTTGTTTGAAATATATAAAGACAGACGTTTCGATCCCGACAGTTTGGACCTTTATCAGTGTTATCTATAAAAATAAATAATCGTATCTAAGCAAGTATAAATTACAAAATAAAAAAGATTAATTTCTTACAAGAAGTTAATGGTCAAATCCGCGCGTCAATTATCTGGTGTCTTGATTCGCACAGAATATATACTTTGACTATGAAGCACGTGGTGATATGACTTTCTTATCAGGCGCTCACACATTTATACGCTTTTTCCCCCCGCAACGAATCTTACGACAAACGTACATATACGAACAGCGAACCGTGATACAAACTAAAATATTGTTATTGTAATTTCAATTTATAAGCTTCCAAAAACGAGAAATAAGGTTTTAGTTTTTCGGTATCTATTGGGTTGGTGGAAAAGTTCTGCGGATTTTTAGTATAAAATTTAAACACACAATCGACATTTATAAAAATTAATTTAGTCCACAATATGTTGACCGTCTTGATCTACAACTTGTTGCCAACGTTTCGGTAGAGCCTTGATGCCGCTCTCGTAAAACCCTTGGGACTTGTGGGCAAAAAAATCAACGAGGTGATTTTGGATGGCCTCCATTGAATCGAATTGATGACCGTCAACATTGTTTTGCAGCGAGCGAAACAAGTGATAATCAGACGGTGCAAGGTCCGGCGAATATGATGGGTGCTACATCATTTCCCAGCCAAAGCTCTGCAATTTTTTTTTCGTGACCAAAGAAGTACGTGGTCGAGCGTTGTCATGATGGAAAATCTTACCTTTTCTATTCAACAATTCTGGCCGCTTCTCTTGCACTACCTTGCGCAATTTGTCGAGCTGAGCGCAGTATTTCTTCGAATCTATTGTTTGGCCCTGCGGGAGCAGCTCGAACCACAACACTCCTTTATAGTCCCACCAAATACATAGCATTACTTTCTGTGGATGCAAATTAGGTTTTGCCACCGTTTGTGAAGACTCGCCCGGACCGCATCACGACTTCCGCCGCTTAATGTTGTTGTAGACAACCCATTTCTCGTCTCCAGTGATGATCCGTTTCAGAAATGGGTCTAGCGAGTTTTGTTTCAGGAGTGATTCACACACTAAAATCCGATCCATGATGTTCTTTTCGCTCAGTTCATGCGGCACCCTAACCCATACATCAAGCTTTTTCATCATGCCAAGCTTTTTTAATCGATCCATAACGGTTGTATGATGAATGCAGAAGCGCTTCGCAATCTCTCGAGTCGTTAAGTGTCGATCACTCTTCACTGTAGCCAGGAGTTGGTCGTCGTCAACAGAATTTGGCCGTCCAGAGCGTGGTACATCTTGGAGGTTAAATTCTCCGGAACGGAAGCGAGCAAACCATCTTTCACATGTGTCTGCGCTTAAGGCCAAGGCACCATACATAGCGCATATTTCGCGCTTAGCGTCCGCCGCTTTATATCCTTTACGGAATAAAAACAGCAAAATATGGCAAAAATGCAATTTTTGATCTTCCATTTTAGTTATATGCCGTACACGCAAAACACATCCGACCAAAACAAACACTTCTGCCAAATGTCAAGCGTAGTGTGACTTGTCAAAATATGTGCGGTAGACTGACATTTGAACGACACGCAATAATTATTTTCTGACACTAGTGTCATCTATTAAAAAATCCGCAGAACTTTTCCATCAATCCAATAAAATCACATTGATTGTCTTGAAGTTTTATTTGGATCATTTCTGATATTGATCTTTTGTGAAAATGTTGTTCAGTGTTAAGAATTTTTGTGTTTTGCCAGTTGAAATTGTGGCCTATATCTAATCTATGTTCCGTGACCACTGAGATGTTGTCAACATTCCTATTGATCTGACTTCTATTTTCCGAAATTCTCGTTGTTAGTTTTCTCTTGGTTTTCCTCACGTAAGCTGCATTACAATTTTCACAATCCAATCTGTAAACCACATTTTTCTTTTGACCAGTTAATAGGTCTTTCAGCACTTTGATGTATCTATTTAATTTGTTTACACTTCGGCATGACACTGAGAAGCCCTTTTTATTTTTGAATATGTCTGATATCGAGTATGCTAATTTGTTGATGTAGGGAACGACTAAGTATTTTTTTTGGAACTGGTTCTTGGTCATTAAGTGAATTATTTGAGTTATTTTGTGTTTTAAAATTGTTATTAATGAGAAATTTTATCCTATTTTTCATTACGGTAAAGATAAGTTGTAAGGAATAGTTATTTAATAATAAAAGATTAGTCAAAAATTTAAAATTTTTTTCATGGAAAGTAGGATGAGATAGATATAAAATCCTTTCGACCATACCATTAATCATGCCAATTTTTCGAGAATTATGGTGAGCTGTATAAAAGTTAAGGTATCTACCTGAAAAAGTTAGTTTATGATACCAATCTGTTAATATTTTGTTATTTTTAATTATTGAACTAATATCTAAGAAGTTTATATATATAGTGTTATCTATTTGGATTTCTATAGTGAATTTTAGTTTTTGGTGATAGTTGTTAAATTGATCGAGTAGATGGTTTTATTAGTCGATAGGAGCAGTCATTAAGATGTCATCTACGACAAATTAGCATACTCGATATCAGACATATTCAAAAATAAAAAGGGCTTCTCAGTGTCATGCCGAAGTGTAAACAAATTAAATAGATACATCAAAGTGCTGAAAGACCTATTAACTGGTCAAAAGAAAAATGTGGTTTACAGATTGGATTGTGAAAATTGTAATGCAGCTTACGTGAGGAAAACCAAGAGAAAACTAACAACGAGAATTTCGGAAAATAGAAGTCAGATCAATAGGAATGTTGACAACATCTCAGTGGTCACGGAACATAGATTAGATATAGGCCACAATTTCAACTGGCAAAACACAAAAATTCTTAACACTGAACAACATTTTCACAAAAGATCAATATCAGAAATGATCCAAATAAAACTTCAAGACAATCAATGTGATTTTATTGTAGATACCGAAAAACTAAAACCTTATTTCTCGGTTTTGGAAGCTTATAAATTGAAATTACAATAACAATATTTTAGTTTGTATCACGGTTCGCTGTTCGTATATGTACGTTTGTCGTAAGATTCGTTGCGGGGGGAAAAAGCGTATAAATGTGTGAGCGCCTGATAAGAAAGTCATATCACCACGTGCTTCATAGTCAAAGTATATATTCTGTGCGAATCAAGACACCAGATAATTGACGCGCGGATTTGACCATTAACTTCTTGTAAGAAATTAATCTTTTTTATTTTGTAATTTATACCTGCTTAGATACGATTGTTTATTTTGTATAGATAATACTGATAAAAGTCCAAACTGTCGGGATCGAAACGTCTGTCTTTATATATTTCAAACAAATACATTTACTCATACACGAAAACCTAGTATATGGCTTGTATTTGCCTTTACTAATCTTAAAAACTAAATTGTTAATCTATTTATAGAAGTTATTCAATTTTTTATGTTCGAGCACGAGCAGACTTTAAACGAGATTGCCGTCAGCAAACAAATGTTTCTTGGGGTAAGATATTTTGCGCATATTGAAAAAAATTCTTTTACTTCTGTTTTAATTGGTTTCTTTTGATCCACAGTATCCTTAAAACGATTAAAGGCTGGTAACACTCAACAGGATGATATGAAATTAAAATGTTACATAAGATGCTTTCTCTTGAAGAGCGGTCTTCTTAATAAAGATAACAATGTAAATATTGAAAAACTACTGCGTCATCTGCCGCATAATATGCATAAATCATCGAGAAAAGTTTTTAATCGCTGCAAATCAATTCGTAAGTATTTTTATTTTTATTTGATTTTCAAATTTCTGCAACAATATTTGTTTACACGTATTGCAATTTTAAAGTAAATGTATATTTGAATAGGTTTAGTTTGACATAATCACACTAATATTTATATAAAGCATATGTCAGACATTCAAAAAATTGTAGTTGAATGTTATGAATTAACATAATGAAATTTTCAGCATCAGAGCATGCCTGTGATAAAGCTTTTCGAATAGCTATATGTTATGTTAAAGCGCATCCATATGTAAGTATATTATAAAATAAAGTACGTTTTAGCGTTTTTATAATTCACTCTTTCTTTGTTTGCAGATTTTACAAAATGCACCTTTTATTTAAGAATAATTACTGTCAAAATTTTAAATGTATATTATGTACAAAAAGCATCGATTTTACATTTAAAAAATTACAAATAAAAATACAAAGTATTATTTAAAAAAGATAATGTTTTTAAAAAATTATTATATGTTATATGAAATTATTATATGTTATATATTAATATATATAAAAATACATTAAAATACATTAAACAATTGTGATTGTTTACCCAGCTTGGTGTGTGTACACGTGTTTCTCTTCTTAATTATTATACATTTTTGTAACTTAGCTGCTTTGCGCTAAATAACATAACGTATCTATGCAACTATAATAATAAAAAAATACAGCAAAATTATTCTTCATGTATTAGAATGAAATTATAACAAAATGTTCTATGTAAAAAATGTTATTGGAAAAATTACAATTACCATAGTAACGCATAACATATTTATAGGACATATAATTCGCGTCTCTCATGTAAATTTTACGCTCAATGTTATTATATATTTTGTCAAAATTTCTCAAAATTTCTCCAGAATTGAAAGTAATTATCTGAAATAGGAATAATATACATTGTAAAAGTTCATTATGTGTGATCATTGCACGTAAGTGTTTTATTTATATATACATCACGTAAAACATCAATTTTATAACCATTTATATTGATTCCTTCGGATTTGGTGTATGAAATACATATTATAAAAATCTTTATTTATATTAGAGTTCAGAAACATTCGTCTGATGCATATGTGAGATTTATATGTGCATGTGATATTATATATGATTTATTACAGACGAGTTATTAGTCAAAAGGGATATGCCGGTCAAGTAACGTGTCGATGCGATCAGTAAGTCATGCGCGCGCGCACACACATACACTTATGAATTTATAAATATTGATATAACAATACAATACAATTTTATAATATCAAAATCTTTATTTTTTAATTTATTCTTTCTATTCTATATATATGTTTTTATACATATGTTATGTTCACAGAAAAAGCGTAAAGAAAAACGATACAGTCCCTAAAGACAAAGAATTTGGATGTTGCAGCAAAAAGTAAAGATTGCAATATTTGCTTTAAAATAAATATAATATAATATTATAGTATATATACAGTTATTACATCGTGCAAACCTATATGGTCGCCTGGTTTTTGTAATGACAATTTTAGAAGTGCGTGCATTACAGTGTTATAAAAAATGTTAATAATTCAATCATGCAACTCGACAAAATGTGCAGAGAAATCAAGACAGGAGGATGTTGCGGTGCCAAATGTTGCGCTGGTATGAGAGAAGAGCGTGGCGGATGTTGTAATGATCCTAGAACAGACGAAAAAAACTGCTGTCCAACAGGAAAATAATCTATTACTGTGACGTTCTTATTCGACAATCAAACAAAGGTTACAAAGGCGGTCATATAGGCTAAATTTTGAATAAATTCAAATTTAATTTAAATTGCATATTGAATTTATCGTTATATGGTTTGTTGTACGCTAGACATTTGTTTGTGATATTGTTCTATATTTCAAACTGTTTAATATCTATTATACTAGAGCAAGAGATGCAGCTGGCGGTTGTTGTATGTCCGGTTGTTGTAAATTTAAAAATGAAGAAACCAAGACAGACAGTATCAAGCAGAATATTGTAGAAAAATGCTGTGCCGAAAACCGAAAATAAAAAATTTATAAATCCAAATCTAATATTTTTCGCTAATTTCTGTTATATGTCACTTGTAACTGAAAATATATACTGATAATAAAAACACTGAAATTTATGCAAGTACTTTTACTAAGTTTTGAAATTGTTGTGCAAATTTTACAGAGTGTGAACCAATAAAATTTTGTTCGCAATGCATAAAATACGGGAACTGCTGCTCTTCTACATGTGTGACTATTTTTATGCTCTCTTATCGATTTTCAATATAATCGAATATTTGTTAACTTTTTTACAAATAGAGAAATCATAACAGAAGGATATTGCAATGTCAAATGTTGCGCTGATATAAGAGAAGAGTGTGGCAAATGTTGTAGTGATCCTAGAACAGACAAAAAAAAACTGCTGTCCAACAGGAAAATAATCTTTTACCGCGACATTCTTATTCGACAATCAAACAAAGGCGGCTATGTGGACTAAATTTTGAGTAAATTCAAATTTAAGTTTAATTGCATGTTGAATTTATCGTATGTTGCAAATGTGTGTTCACAGATACGTTTCTCTCTCTTCCTGATTTTATATACTGTGTTTATTTTTAAATAATGTAAGCAATAGCAAATTTTATATTATTATAATATTAATATAATATTATAATGTAATATTATATTATTATAATATTAATATAATATAATATTTGTTCTAAGCGCATCTCCAAGATTATAAAATTGCGGAAGACGCGAGATTGTAAAAATCGCCGGAATAATAATTAAGACCTGCGTAGGTCGATATACTGATGATGTCACAAAGTAGAAAAAATTCTACGTCATACTCGTATATATTCGCTTACAGTGACGCACGTGCAAGAAAAGGGTACCTTGGAGTAAAAGTTGATAAGGGCAAAAGTGCGTGTGTGTGCGCGCGGGGATGATGCGGCTCGACGCGGTTCGATGCGGCGCGCAAGCGCGACGAATACAGAGCTTTACGAGCCACGCGATGGTGGCAGTCGGACGCCTAAAACCGCGAAACACGTTTCGCGTTTCTCTGAGAAAGATTACCGCGCGAGACTTGTTTGAGTCACGTTTTTTCCTTCATTTACATTGGTGTGTGTGCGTAATTAGGGTACTTCCCTGGGACGTTCTCGACCGATCGCTCATTTTGATCCCGCCTCGATCATGTTCCTTATCGTTCGCTTACGCTCGATGTCAACATTCGGAAACCAAACGCGATCAATTTCGATGGCATCGTTATTTCTTGCGCCTCGAGTGTCATCCCGACGTCATGTATCAATCGTGCAAATCGATCGAATACTGACGATCAAGAAGGACCGTGACCTTGGAGCTCACGTGCAAGCGGGACATGCTAGATTCAGGGACAATTAACGTGTTATCTGGCGATAATACGCTAATGAAGACCTTCTTAGCAGTGCTCGCTAATCTTTATTGTCGGCAGAATATATGATTGGTCCACGATCGGTGCATAAGTGGTACGTATAGCGGCGCGTATGACCTCCCGTTTTAGTATCTTTATTTAATAATTATGTCATTATTATTTTCTTTTTTTCCATGATAGTGTTTACAAAATAGTTCTTTAATTTAGAAAATTTGAACTTACTTCGACGTACTAAATGCTAGAATAAGTGATATTTTTTTTAATATCTTATAATATTTTTATCAATTTCCACCGGAATATATTACTTATATTACTCTAGAGCCGAAATATATACTTCTACTTTAGAGCCTAGAGATTTTATCTACTTTAAAAAATGCCTAAAAAATACTTCCAAAGAATCAAAGTATAATCGTAAACTTTTTTGTGAAAAAAACTCTCTTTTTTATAACTCAAGAAAAAAACGCGATACTTTTTAAGTATAAAAAAAGTCTGATATTAAGGTTTATTTTTTATTCGTCTTTGTCTTGAACTTTCTTGCAGAGAAAAAAATATATTTAAAAAATGTATTTTTAAATAGTATCTGTAAAATATAGAAAAAGATTGTGATGCATGATAAAACTTTCGGAATACATGTCAGATGATTCCGCCAAATTATACATAGGATACGTAATGTTAAGAAAATTCTTGCGATATATGTCTGCTTATTGTTTTTCCATTTCGGCAATTTTACGCTTTTCTTTAATATCTTTTAAGTACTAATTTTTCACATTTGACATATACGCAGCACTTTATTTAACTTGTTCTTTGCATAAAAGTGCATATAGTAATGGTCGACATTGTTCAAAAGAGTGAAATACATGGGACGTCGATACGATAACGATAGAGAAATACGACAATAAAAAAATATTCATTCTGAGACAAAACAAAATTAAAGCGAAGATTAGAAGCTTATTGAGAAAGCATTCGCTATTCATAGACTACAAAGGATTAACGTCATAAGTCTTTTCTCTGAATAGGCTGTAACATCGACAAAAAAAATATTAATGAAAATGACGCCGCATAAATAACGCTCTAATGTCGTTTTTGTTTTTGTCTATTTTGATGGTTTTTTTAAAATAGATTTTTTGTAAGAAAGTAGATTTATATGATAATTGAAGAATTTCAAGACCAAAGTATCAGTGCGCAGCGTCAAACTATGCATAGCAAACTCGCGCGCTCATAAATTGCTTGCGTAATTCTCAAGTTTAATCGTGTGTCTCTAAGCGTACAAAAAAGTTTAAAAGAACGTAAATGATTTAATTTATGTCAGCACGATAAAGAGTCGCCTTCTTATAAAATGAAACAATCTTCAGATAAATTTTCCAAATTATTTTCTTACTGCATCATTTTGTTTTCATTTATTATCTGGTAATCTTCCACGTGTTGGGCAAATGAAAAATAAAACTAATCTTTATGTTTTTGATGAGACAAACCCGCGGTCTTTTTTCCACTTAGTTTAAAGTTGTCAATTTGGAGAAGAGGAATCATTTGAAAAACTTATTTTATAAAAAATAAAGTGCAACTCAAAATTAATTATTCATGGTTTTTGAAATTCATAATTACTTCTCTTAATTTAATTTTTCTGGTTTTTTCGAGACATATAAAAAGAGAAAATAAATATATTTTTACAAGATGATAATCAAATCTTTTATACACATATAAACTGAACTATATGAACAGAATTCTACATGATAATGAATGGACTATATAGGCACCCACTGACTTCCGGCTTACACGATTACATCATTTGGCCAATCTTATACGATTTCACAATTGGTCGCGACGATATCACAAACGCGAATGCGATCAAGTCTTATAAAACAGATTCCTCCTTCCTCTGACTCAGCTGCATTGATATGTAGCAAAATACAGAGTTGCAATTGCACACCTAAACTATTAAAACATTAACTATTAAAACATTAACTATTCCGGAAGCACATTATAGGAGTAAACAGTACAGTTATTGGCCTCCCAATAGTAATTGGCCATGTATTAAAAAAGTAATAAATATAAATAAATACTATCATTATATTCTAAATAATAAACATTTTAATATTAATATTAATATTAATTAAGGTTTAATATTAATATAATTTAATATTAATATTAATTAAGGTTTCCTGCTCCAAATAAAAGTAATATTATAATATTTAAGAAGCTCAAAAAAAAAAAAATTATTGTTATACGACAAACATTGGCTAACTGGCCAATCACTGTTTTTAAGGTTATGAAAATCATGTGACAGTCATCATTGGCCTCTTATTTTGAGTTATAGATACAAATGTAAGTAGGTTTGTTAGTTTTTAATGTGTTATAAATAAAATATTCATTACTATATTTTCATAAGACAAAACAAAAAATTATGATAACTGTTATGTAATCAGATATTAACAGAACTCATATGGCCAATAACTGTCTATTTTGACTATAGAAAATATTTTATCAAATTTTGAATAAGTTTACAAAGTTTCTAATAAATGTATTATTTTATTTGCAATTTTTATAGTTTGAGCTAGTACCCACACAGACATCCATTAGACATCTATTAAATGTCGCATGGAGCTGTCGACGTCTAATAGACTAAGAAAAATGTTATAGTAATGGTAACAAAAAAAAATTATTTACAAATAGCCATTTTTCATTGGACAATTTTGTTAAACTGGCAAAATGTAATATTTATTTGATTGGATAAGCAAAATGTCGTTAACTGTTTGAACTGATAACGCAAATTTAGTTGATTATTCACGTTTGGTAAGTAGCAATATAAAATTAAGTTGCAATTACACAATAAATTGTTTTTTGGTAATGTCAACAAAAAGATGTATTACGGTAGAAATTAATTTGATTAAGCAGAATACAGAACAATATGATACCGAGGTAACCAAACCTTTTTGCAATAAATATTTAAATTTAGTTAGTTGTACTAAATAATTAAGTAGAAAGAGCAAAAGAAATGAGAATCACGCAGCGAGAGCGTGAGAGCACTGGCTGCGCCATGGTGTAAGTATACAGGTGTGCTCGTTCTCGAGCACAATTTCGTCCGGTTCTGCGCAGCTCCCAAGCGCTTCCATTTTTAAATATCGATACATGATAATCGATATAATATCGATATAATTGTCATACATCAGGTTAAGGTTGCATTCGGAAACGTCACTCGTGTATATTTTATCTTTATTACTCATTAGATAAAACAAAGATAGAATAACGCTCGTGTGTACACGAGTGGTGTTTCTGAACGTATAAATTTAAGAGTTATAACTTCTAATCATTTATCCGCACGTGTGTCACAATTCTTATATATATTTGGTTATTAATTTTGTATTTCGGTTATTAATTTTGTTAATATATTTTGATTATTAATTTTGTTAATGTATTTTGATTATTAATTTTGTTAACGTATTTCGGTTATTAAGTTTGTTAATAAATAATAAATGTTGGACAAACCATATAAAACATATAAAATATTATTTCTTACTCGTTATTTGCAAAATAAATGCAGTTTATGACTGCTTATAAAACATTCGATTCGTTTTACTACTCCAATATGGACAATGTTGGGGCAACTTTCCTATTGGCTGTTGAGAAACGATGCGCAAAAGCACATCTATATACTTACACCATAGGCAGCGCTATGTAGCACGCGTATGAAAAGTAACACCACACATGATGCTAAAAATAAAGTGTAGTACGTATAATTACTCTGATTTCTAACAAATAATAAAAAATTGTCACTTCTTCACAGTTTTTATTGTGTTAAAGTGAAGAATCTACTACATTCTGTTTTTTTTTCACTATGTGTAGTGTTACTTTTCATACGCGTACTGCGTACCGCGGTCCGTGGCTCGCTAGCTGCGACACTGTATCCTAACCTAACTTAACCTAACCTAACCTAACCTAACTTTTCTACACTATTCGCTTCCCATATGGAAATTTCTTTACATGATGCCAAATTAATTACCGTTAGGGTACATTGCACTGCAATAGTTTTAATAAAATAATAATTTAAAGAAATAATAAATAAAATGTGTATGATAGCTTGAGAATAAGTAGATAAAAATAATTAAATTTTAGTAAAGGACAAGTGGTCTAGCGGACTGAGTGCAGGGGCTGCGAATATAGAGATTTCGAGTTCAAATCCCGCCATCATTTTGGGATGTTTTCAGGTTCGGTCACTTTCAATAAAGTTCATTGGTTAATCGGCGAGCTGAATCGAGCATCCACAGATTAATTTGAATGAAATTTCTCGAAACTGTGTAAGAACGCAAGCCGCAAAAGAATTTTTTTACTATTTTATTAAACTTAAAAAAATACTTTAAAAGTCAAACAATCGAAATGTTTGGTTTAAAAGTAAGATTGTTTCGACTATTCCAATGAAATAATTTGTTTGGATTTAACAAAATTTGTTAAATCTAAAGAAACCGTTCTCTTTGTGTACCAAACAGTTTTGTGGTATTAAATGATCACTTTTTTGGATAAATTAAACAACTTCCCAGACGGCACAATGATGTATTTAAGATGTCTTGAAGATATCTCACAGAGACTTTGAATGTGCAAAAGATATCTCGTTGAGACATTTTCGAACGAGTAATGATGTTCAAATAATATCTCAGGGATATGCCTGAGACTGCTAATG